TCGGCGTCGGCGTCGGCGTAGTAGTAGTAGTAGTAGTAGTAGTAGTAGTACTAGTAGTAGTAGTAGCAGTACTACTACTACTACTACTACTACTACCACTGCTGCTACTACTACCACTCCTGCTACTGCTACTGCTACTGCTACTACTACTACTACTACTACTACTGATACTGTCCTACGTCCTACGTCCTACTTACTACTTACTACTTACTGCTTACTACTTACTAGTACTACTACTACTATTACTACTACTACTACTACTACCAATACTACTACTACTACTACTACCACTACCACTACTACTACTACTACTACTAATACTACTACTACTGTCCTACTACTACCACTACCACTACCACTACGACTACTACTACTACTACTACTACTACTACTGTACTACTACTACTGCCACTACCACTACGACCACTACTACTACTACCACGACTACTACTGCTGCTGCTGCTGCTGCCGCTGCTACTACTACTGTCCTACCACTACTACCACTACTACCACTACCAATACTACTATTACTAGAATAACTACTACTACTACTACTACTACTCCTACTCCTACTCCTACTCCTACTCCTACTCCTACTGCTCCTGCTCCTGCTCCTGCTCCTACTGCTCCTGCTCCTGCTCCTGCTCCTGCTCCTGCTCCTGCTCCTGCTGCTGCTACTACTACTACGACTACCACTACCACTGCCACTGCCACTAACACTACCACGACCACCACAACTACGACTAGGACTACGACCACTACCACTACCACTACCACTACCACTACTACTACTACTACCACCAATAGCAGTAGTAGTAGCAGTCGTCGTCGTCCTAGTATTGGAATAGCCTCCTCTTAATCTGCCCTCGGGCTGAGGCGGCTCACGACGGTACGCTAGCTTGGAATGATCATTTTCTTCTCTAGATGTTCCCCCTGTGGCTCGCAAAAGGTATGTGTCACCTTCCTCCTCTAATCCTTTCCCTCGGATGGCTCACAAAAGGATGCCACCTTGGAATGGCACCTTCCTGTTTTTAATTTTGCCCTCAGAAGGCTCGCAAAAGGAACGCTAGTCAAATTTTTACCCTCGAGTGGGTCACAAAAGGTGTGTCACCTTGCTGTCGGCGCTGCTCACAACAGGTAGAATTGTTTGGAATGGCACCTTTCACCTTTAAATGTTACCCTGGGGCGACCCACACAAGGTATGCTTCATTGGAACGGCACCTCCCGCCTCTATATTTACACGCAGGGCTCACACACGGTAGGTTACATTGGAACAGCACCTTCCTCTTTGAATTTTGAGCTCGTGTGGCTCACAAAAGATATGCTACATTGAAATGGCCCCTCTCAGGGCTCACAAAAGGTATGCTACATTGGAAACTCACCATCGAGCTCACCCTTCGAAACCACTGGCGAAAGGCAAGGTGGCTTGAAAGAGACAGGTTTCCACGGAACATGTTTCGGACAAAGTGAGAATGCCAAGCGTCAAACAACACAGCAAGAAAGTCGACGAGACGATCGAACGTAATGGTGATCGACAGTTCAACAATGAAATCTCCAGGGTCGGGGAACCAGGAGCAAACATCACCGAGTGCATGTCAGAAAAAAGGAGTCGGCCACGAAAGAATCTGCCAAAATCTGATTCGGGGAGGGGCACCTCAAGCCGGACAAACAAAAGAACCAACGACAAACACAAACAAACCTTGAAAGTTGCCCTCGTCATGTCCTCCAAAATTACAACACATGCAACATATGAAAAACAAAACAACAGAAATCGGGTTTCGTACAAAATTCTTGACAACTTGCTCCACATCAAAAAAAGCACTCATCAAATTATGTGATTGAAGTCCCCAGTCCCCCCACCCACCCACCGCTTCACTACACACACAGTTAGAAGCCCGGCAAAATCATGCCCTGAGCACTTTCAAGAACCGGTAGCGGGTAGCATTTGGACGGATGTGGTGTACATCGTATCATGAGATGTGCTGGATGAGTCGGATGAGCTGGTGTCTGTTGTGGCGGTTGTCGCTGGCACGAGGTTGTCTGCACCGGGTGCACTTTGTGAGTTTCAACAGGGGTACGGGTTGTCAATTGGCGCAATGGCCTCCACCCTAGTAACGATGACCTCCAATCTAGTAGCTAGCGATGGCCTCCAACCTAAGAGCGATGGCCTCTACCGTAATAGCGATGGTAGGGGGTTGCCAAACATATAAGAACGCATCAACGCAGTCAACCTGTACAAAGCCCTCACAGACCTCGGATGGCCGGGATGGAGCTGAAGATGCTGAAGTGCATGATGCCAATATGACCGCTCAATCACGAATCGCTTGCATAGAAACAGGAAAGTTAGTGCGAAGGTATGTTACGCTTTTCTTGGTGCGACGGCGCTCTCTCATATGAGGTTGCTGCGGTTGCTGTGTCATATGAGGTTACTAGTTGCCAACGCTGGATCCCCAAGTTGCCAGGCCTTATTGACCAAGTCAAAGTACTCTTTGGGCTTGTCAAAATATTTGCTGCCAACTTCGTACATGCCAGTGACTCCACCCAGGAAGCAGAATATCGATTCAGTTCCATGACCACCATCGCACATTTCCACACATGTGTGGTGCTTAAAATACGCCTGGCAGGCGAACAGGCGGGCGAACAAGACGACACAAACAGACTTTTTCCGCACGCCTACAGCACTTGGCCTTTTTGGTTGAATGAAGTCATGAATGTTAGTTGGAGGCCATCGCAAGAGAGAACAGGAAAGGCAAGAATCTGCACTGTTTGTCCCCTCCCCTTCGCCTTCTCAAGAATGGATACCCAGAACTCATCCTTGTCCCTACTCGAAGCCCATCTCAGTTTAGAGCTGCTTCTCATGCCTTGGCAGCACCAAGAAAGGCTGTGCGCTTCTTTCAAACTAAAAAGCATTGATGTGTCTTTTTGGAAGAAGATCAAAGTTTTTTTGAGGCTGACCTTAGTACACAGAATGCGCACGTGGCATCAGCATTGGGTTTGGTTCCGCATTGCATTCCTCATCAAAATTTGGTGCATGTACAGACAAGAAAGATCATTGACACAAGATAGTCCCAAGTCTGGACATGTCTGGGCTTCTCATGGTTTCACAAGCGATTCTTTACTCATGAGTGCCGTTTTTTGCACTGAGTCTGAACCTGGACTAGATGCCCATGTTGTCATCGATAATCTCGTAGACGAAATGTGATTCGATGCAGAAGAGTATCCCATATACCTCAACATTGACAGAAAGTAGACGACAGTTTTCCCACAAAACGACATAAATCAGATCCAGGTGTAACCTACGCATCGCAGCCGAGCGTAAGTGTGACTTCTCTGTCGACATGTTTGCTCGGGCACAACTATCCGGAACTGTACTCTCTAACTCTTCGCCCTAGCCCCCTGAGAATAGATCTCAAAGAATCAACATCTCCGCCACCTAATAGCAACGGCCTCCAACCTAATCGCAATGCTCTCCAACCTACTAGTGATGGCCTCCAACCTAATAGCGATGGCCTCCAACCTAAGTCCAACCAACTAGCGATGGCCTCCAACCTGATAGCGGTGCCTCCAACCTAACGGCAATGCCCTCCAACCTACTACCGATTGCCGCCATCCTAATAGCGATGGCCTCCAACCTAATAGCAATGCCCTCCAACCTACTAGCCGTGGCCTCCAACCTACTAGCAATGGCCTCCAACCTAATAGCGATTGTGCCCTCCAACCTAATGCAAAGACCGGATTAATAAACCCCCCCCCATGGTAGGTCAACAAGGTCAAGAAGGTCTGAGATACCACTCATGAGGTCCACCCCCCCCGAATTATCGGCTCAGGGAGCCATCGTAGTCGCAGTCGTCGTCGGTAGTAGGTAGTAGGTAGTAGGTAGTAGGTAGTAGTAGTAGGTAGTAGGTAGTAGGTAGTAGGTACTAGGTAGTAGGTAGTAGGTAGTAGGTAGTAGGTAGTAGGTAGTAGGTAGTAGGTAGTAGGTAGTAGGTAGTAGTAGGTAGTAGGTAGTAGGTAGTAGGTGGTAGGTGGTAGGTAGTAGGTAGTAGGTAGTAGTATGTAGTAGTATGTAGTAGTAGGTAGTAGGTAGTAGGTGGTAGGTAGTAGGTAGTAGGCAGTAGGTAGTAGGTAGTTGGTGGTAGGTAGTAGTAGGTAGTAGGTAGTAGTGGTAGGTAGTAGGTAGTAGTAGGTAGTAGGTAGTAGGTAGGAGGTAGTAGGTAGTAGGTAGTAGTAGGTAGTAGTGGGTAGTAGGTAGTTGTCGTCACAACAAGTTTAAACAAGCACAAAGAAAAGGCCAGGGACACAGGATCAAATTAATAGGGGGTAGTAGCGCAGATTGTTGATGGGGGACCGGCCCTTGTGAGGGGTACCCTTCGTGAGCTTGTCAAATGATTGGTTTTAATTGTTTTTTAATAAGGCAATTTATAGGCCCTGAGCCCTAGACATTTTTAAGGTTTTCATCAAACATGTAGTAGGCAGTAGGTGGTGATGGTGGTGGTGGTGGTCGTGGTAGTAGTAGCACGTAGCGGTAGCAGTAGCAGTAGCAGTAGCAGAGCAGGAGCAGCAGCAGCAGCAGCAAGTAGCCAGTAGCTAGTAGCAGCAGCAGCAGCAGCAGGAGGAGGAATTGATTAATCCTGACTTCACATTACTAGCGATGGCCTCCAACATAGAAGCGATGGCCTCCAACCTACTAGCGATGGCCCCCAACCTAATAGCAATGGCCTCACATATAGCGATGGCCTCCAACCTAGAACTAGCCATGGCCTCCAACCTAATAGCGATGGCCTCCAACCCAACTCCAACCAACCAGCGATGGCCTCCAACCCAATAGCGGTGCCTCCAACCTAACAGCAATGCCCTCCAACCTACTAGCGATTGCCGCCATCCAAATAGCCATGGCCTCCAACCTATTAGTGATGGCCTCCAACCTAAGAGCGATGGCCTCCAACCTACTAGCGATGGCCCCCAACCTAATAATATGGCCCCACACCTAGTAGCGATGGCCTCCAACCTAGAAGCGATGGCCTCCAACCTACTACCGATGGCCCCCCAACCTACTAGCGATGACCTCCAACCTAAAAGCGATCCAACCTACTAGCGATGGCCTCCAACCTAAGAGTGATCGCCTCCAACGGAAGAGCGATGGCCTTCAATCTAAAAGCGATGGCCTCCAACCTAATAGCGATGGCCTCCAACCTAATAGCGACGGCATCCAACCTAAGAGCGATGACTTCCAACCTAATGGCGGTGGCCTCCAACCTAGTATCGATGGCCTCCAACCTAATAGCGATGGCCTTCAACCTAATAGCAATGGCCTCCAACCTAATAGCGATGGCCTCCAACCTAATGGCAATGGCCTGGGAACTAATAGCTATGCCCTCCAACCCAATAGCGATGGCCTTCACCAGCCTAATAGCGAAGGCCTCAAACCAAAGAGGAATGGCATCCAACCTAATAGCAATGGCCTCCACCCTGAAAGCAATGCCCTCCAACCTAGTAGCGATGGCCTCCACCCGAGTAGCAAGAGCCTGCAACCTAATAGCGATGGCCATCTAAGCTAAGAGCGACGGCTTCCACCCTAATTGCGGTGGCCTCCAACCTAGTAGCAATGGCCTCCAACCTATGAGCGATGGCCTCCAACCTAGAAACGATAGCCTCCAACCTACTAGCGATGGCCTCCAACCTACTAGCGATGGCCTCCAGCTTGAAGCCATGGCCTCGCGCCTAATGGCGATGCCCTCCAACCAAGAAGCGATGGCCTCCAGCCTACTAGCGATGGCCTCCAACGTACTAACAATGGCCTCCAACCTAGAAGCGATGGCGTCCAACCTATTTGAAAATGCCCTCCAACCTAGTCGCAATGCCCTGACCCAACGATCGATGGCATTCAACCTAAGAGCGATGGCCTCCAACCTACTAGCGATGGCCTCCAACCTAATAGCAATGGCCTCCAACCTAATAGCGATGGCATTCAACCTAGAAGCGATGGCCTCCAACCTACTAGCGATGGCCTCCAACGTACTAGCAATGGCCTCCCACCTAGAAGCGATGGCCTCCATTCTAATAGCGATGGCCTCCAACCTAGTAGCAATGCCCTCCAACCTACTAGCGATGGCCTCCAACCTTATAGCAATGGCATCCAACCTAACAGCGATGGCCTCGAATCTAATAGCGATGGCCTCCAACCTAATAGGGATGGCCTCCAACCTACCAGCTATGGCATCCAACCTAATAGCGATGGCCTCCAATCTAATTGCGATGGCCTCCAACCTAGTAGCGATGGCCGCCAACCTAATAGCGATGGCCCCCAACCTGCCAGCAATGGCCTCCAACGGCCTCCAATCTAATTGCGATGGCCTCCAACCTAGTAGCGATGGCCGCCAACCTAAGAGCGATGGCCCCCAACCTACCAGCAACGGCCTCCACCCTACCAGCTATGGCCTCCAACCTAATAGTGATGGCCGGCAACTGAATACCTAATAGCAATGGCATGCACCTAAAAGCGATGGCCTCAAACCCTGATAGCGATGGCCTCGAGCCTAACAGCAACGGCCTCCAACCTAATAGCGATGGCCTCCAACCGACTAGCCATGGACTCCAACCTAATAGCGATGGCCTCTGACCTAATAGCGATGACCTCCAACCTAATAGCCAAAGCCTCCAACCTAATAGCGATGGCCTCCAACCTAATAGCGATGGCCTCCAACCTAATAGCGACGGCATCCAACCTAAGAGCGATGACTTCCAACCTATGACGATGGCCTCCAACCTAATAGCGATGGCCACCAACCTTAATAGCGATGGCCTCCAACCTACTAGCGATGGCCTTCAACCTAAGCCTACTAGCGATGGCCTCAAACCTAATAGCAATGGCCTCCAACCTAAAAGGGATGGCCTCGAACCTAATCGCAATGCCCTCCAACCTAATAGCAATGGCCAGCAACCTAATAGCAATGCCCTCCCACCTACTAGGGATGGCCTCCAACGTAATAGCGATGACCTCCAATCTAAGAGCGATTGCCTCCAACCTAATAGCGATTCCTCCAACCTAATAGCGATGGCCTCCAACCTACTAGCGACCAATACCGAGGGCCTCCAACCTGAAAGCAATGGCATCCAAGCTATCAGCGATGGCTTCCAACTTAATGGCGGTGGCCGGCCACCAACCTAAGAGCAATGGCCTTCAACCTAATAGCGATAGCCTCCAACCTAATAGCGTTGGCCGATGGCCTCCAACCTAATAGCGGCGATGGCCTCGGAACTAATAGCTATGCCCTCGAACCCAATAGCGATGGCCTTCAGCGACCTAATAGCGAATGCCTCCAACCAAAGAGGGATGGCATCCAACCTCATAGCAATGGCCCTGAACCTATGAGGGCCTCCAACTTAACCTAATTTACTACTTGCGATGGCCTCCAACCTAATAGTGATGGCCTCCAACCTAAGAGCGATGGCCTCCAACCAAATAATAGCGCTGGCCTCCTAATAGCAATGGCCTCCAACCTAGTAGCGATGGCCTCCAACCTAATAGTCACGGCCTCCAACCTAAGAGCGGTGGCTTTCAACCTACTAGCGATGGCCTCCAACCTAATAGCGATGGCCTCGAACCTAATAGAATGGCCTCCAACCTAATACCACCCAAATAGCGATGGCCTCCAACCTAATAGAAAAGGCCTCCAATCTAACAGCGGTGGCCTGCAACCTACTAGCGATTACCTCCAACTTAAGAGCGATGGCCTCCAACTGAATAGCCATGGCCGCCAACCCAATAGCAATGGCCTCCAACCTAACAGGGATGGCCTCCAACCTAATAGCGATGGCCTGCAAGCTGATAGCGATGGCCTCCACCCTAGTACTGATGGTCTCCAACCTAATAGTGATGGTCTCCAACCTGGTAGGGATGACGTTACTAATAGCCATGGCCTCCAACCTAATAGTGATGGCCTACCACCCTAG